CCTCGCCGCGCCCGGGGCTCTTCGGTGCGGTCAGAGACGGCGCGTCGGCTCCTCCTCCAGCCCGTCTGCTCCACACTGCGGGTTGTGTGAGCGTGGTCGGGGAGGGCGCGGCTGTCCCGAGGGGCCACCCCGAGCCCCGATCCGCGACAGGATCCCCGGGGCCAGCGCCGGGCGGGACCACACTAATCCCGGGTTCAGCGACCCACTGTTTGAAGATGCTATTACAGAGCTGCAGATAAAAGTTCATCCCCGTTTCCAGCCCATATTTCTTCAACACCCTCTTTCCTTTGTTCTATCCATGTGCCAATGCCCCTGATCTTTCTAACCTCTGTTATGCAGATCGATAACGCTGCCTGTGGGTCGCTCCAGACCTGATTTTGCATTCTTCCAAGGCAACCTGCAGAACCACCCGGTTTGGGCTGATGCGTGTGCCAAAGCACCCACACCTTTCTTTTGTTCGCCTTAAGGGCGGAAGGCTGCCCAGCTCCAAACGGGGGTGCTGGAAAATACACTCTCGGGTTTGTCTCTTCTACAGTGATTTTGAGAAAAAGAAATCTGATCACTTGTGCTCCCTGTGGAATGATTTTTACTGGTCTTAGCCAGGAGAAATTTAATTACTTGGTTGAGTACGCTCCGCAAACAATGTGAAGCTTTTAATTCCAGGCAATATTTTTATTTTATTTTATTTTATTATGTTAACTGCATCATCAACATCCCCCCCATCCACATCTATAATTACTTGTAAAAACAACTTGCAGATCAGCAGCTCGAGCAGCCCACTGACCGCTTCAGGTGATGATTCAAAGTGCTGCCGGTCTTTCCCCATGGCTGCGGTGGCTGTGCTCCTGAAAACACTGTTGCAGCAAAACTCAATTACAGCAGGGCTGGGGCAAAATCCAGGTACCGCCAACGCCCGCTACTATGATTTCCAGGAATTTTGCATATCGAACCGTGCTTATTAGTTATTATTGGCATTTCAGCACTAAAGAGAGTAGCTGATTTTACACATCCTCCACACCTACATTAAGCTCATTCCTAACAGCTTGGAGCTTCAAAGGAAGCCATTTTAAAATCCAATTCAAGGAAAACAGATTATTAACCCTTGAGGAAAGACACCCACCCCAACTGCTTTATCTTAAATTAATGCAGGTTTTTGAAGGGGAAGTGGGAGGTTCAAGTGTATCTTCTGTATAGAACTTGTTGAGACTGGGAGAAAAAAAAAATCACAATGCGAAATGTCGGTTTATAAAATAAACAGCTGCATTACTGGGGGATGAGGGAGGGAATCCAGGTCTAGCCTTTCTGCAGCCCCTGGACAAGACCGTTTGGAAGCGAACAGCAGCCTGAAGTCTCACGTCAGGAGACTTCAGACAAGGTCGAGCTCCCTTCAGAGGTAGGTATTTGAAAGCCGGGTGTTTCTCAAAGGTTCGGCGTAGCTTATTGCAAATTACTCGCAGGGAAACGAACTGTTCTGCTGTTAGCTGCTGGTGCCTCTCTCTGCCCTCTCTGTATTTCCCTCACATCGAGGTGTCTGACAGCGCAGCCCCTGTCCCAGCCCTGGGCCGGCCCTGGCTGGATTCCTCCATCCCCAGTCTCCCCGGCAACGCCCTCCCGCACCCCCCTTCCCCCCGCCTTGCCCGACAGAAACGAGCTGCACAAAAAAGAAAGGAACAAAAAAACCCTGCAACATTTTCACTCTCCCGGATTTCCCAGGGTGTGAGGGCAGCGCGGCGGTGGGAGCGCAGGGACGGGGGCAGGGTGGGTGAAATGCCGGCTGACGGGGTTATTCCACAGCCCTCCTTGCTGGACATATGAGAGGAGGAATAACATGACCTCAGTCAAGAGTTTGTTTAATGAAGCTCAGAGGATCTAACCCAGTTTTATCCAATGTATCCTCCCCCCTCCTCGCTTTCATGGTTCCCGTCCTCCCAGCTACAGGTTTGGGTGTGTTCACAGCCAGACCCTCTGCCTCAAGTACTGAAGTGGTCATCCATGAAAGTCCTGTCTCCCCTGTAGAATTCAGAAGGTTGCAACTGCCAGCAAACAAAAGCCCAAGGACTCGGTCATTATACTTTATAATAGGAAATATGTGCATTTGTGTGATGTGCTGCACTTGGTGGGTCATTAGAAGGTTGCTCCTAAAGAGAAATTTGCTCTTTCTGTCAGACAATATGCACCCGTCCCATCACACAGCATTCCATTTTGTAGGTCAGGTCCTTGTCTGTGACTCCTCTCAGAAGGACATTAATGACTGAAAAACCTTGCAGTTATGTCCCAGTGCCCAAGAGTGGCACCTGAGCTTTACTTAACCGGAGGCGTGGGATGCTGTAGTGTATACAAATGAGGAAAAAATTTGTACTCTCAAAAATCAGGGATGTACAGCACAGCCCAGGCTAGACAGTAGGTGACCCACCTCTAGGGCAGCTCTTTTAAGTGTTTAGGCAACGTTTTGCTCCTTGGTGTGCATCATTGTAACTCAGAGGAACCCTGGAGAGGGCCAGGCTAGGAGGATACTGGATACATCATAAGAGTTCAGGGTGGTACCCATGAAGGGGGAATATTTTGTATCTATGCAAACAAAAATTTTGTCAGGGTCTCCATTTCTGTGTGCCTTCTTGGGTTTTGTGTATGGGTTGCATGGAGGCTGTACCAGTGGCTGGGCTAACCTGTGCCAGCTGGTGGGAAAGGACAAGAAGAAGACAAAGCTGGCAGCAGCCATGAATGTGTGCTAGCCATAAGCCTTGGTAGCCTCACCCCCAACAAAAGTCCTGGCTGTAATGTGGTCCAGCTGCAGTTTCTGCTCAGGCTCTCTAGAAAATTGCTGATCGGTGGAAAAATCAGCAGCTGAGCCCCATGCCCTATTAAAAAAAAAAAAAAAAAAGGTAAAACTGCAGGATTATAGGAACGGGATCACCAGTAGCTTAAGGACAGGAGAAGTTCAACATCAACATGGAAAGCTGCGAGATCCTAAAGAAAAAAAACACCAACATATCAACACTGAGGACAAGTTTGTGGGAATAGAAAAGGCCAGCCTGCCTTCCCCTGCCCACACCTGTGGCTGTCTTTGCCTGTTGGTGAAAAGGATAAACCCTAGAGCTCTTCAAAGCTAAGCTGTCTTCAGCCCGTGATACCCAGGATTGATAGTAGTGTGTACCCAAGTGCCCAACAGGAAGCACAAGCAGCAAGAGGTGACCATGCCATCAACCCCACACCAGCCCAGCTGCTGGGGGGGCTCTGGTCAGGCTCAGGTGAAGCCTGGGCTATACTATAGCCATGTTATACTTGCAGCCCTCAGAGCCATCTGAACAGCACCCCAGAGGAGCAGAGACACTCCTCCACTGTTGCCACACTCACCAGAGGGCCCCAGAGTTGGGGCTGCTGCCCCACAGCCAATTCTCCTCCCCTCCTGTATCGTTGTGCATCTTGGGGCATCACTGACTTCAGCAGGGGTGAAGCTGGAGACTGCTGGTACATCTGCAACTGGCTTCAACCAGATCATGGGATTATTTTTCCCCCCCTCTCTTTTACTGCTGTTTCTATTAATTACTTAAAAGG